TAATACTTTATTTTATCATGATAATAATACAAAGATCTATACCTATATGGCTAAGTTTGTTCTGAGTTAGGTTGAAATACAGCAGGAGTGTAATGGTTTGATACATTCAAGCTATTATCTTGTTGATGAACTTAAATCCCACCCCCTGGAAAGATACCCCAGTATACCATCATAGTGTGAAATTATATTTACACCACATTTAGCTACTTTGTATACATATACATGACATACTCCCCTGTCTCCGTACAACGCCCATGATATAACTGAAACATCCACATCATTTCTGTGTCATTCAAAAACAATTAACATTACATTATGATAAGTAGCTATAGGCCTCCAATATCTTTGACACCAAAACATGCTATTTGTCGATAGAAATTGACAAATATTGCCAATTTGACCCACACGCCTCTGCAAGGAAATCAATATGTACATTTGCCACAATGTGTTATTTTCCATTAGAACAAAAAAATCAAATCCCTAGTCTTTTCTGGTGGTTCAGACTGGAATTAATCCAGTACTATTCTGTCTGCTGTTGCCCCCGACAGCTAGAGACACATCCTATCTCGGCTGGTAACTCAGCTTCACATGTAGGAATAACTTTTCCATTTTTTCTCACATTACATTGAAGATTAAGTGTTGGTTAAGATAAGCTTGAATACACAGTGTGACTGCATCAGCATGGCGAGGAATCTGATGTTTTTAGATAACAGTCAAGGGATGACTTGTCATGACCTTCCAGCTATATATTGTAGGTTGTATTAATGGTGAGTTTTTGGAAAGTTTTAAGAAAAGGATTTCTCCATCTACACAGTACATACCTCTTCTTTTTATAAAGCAGTTTGTATTAAGTATATGTTTATCAACACCTTGTGATTAATCAAACAATAAAAAATCAAGCATTCTTAAGTATTGCGATGTACATCTATTCATGATACAGTATATTCCTTTGAAGGTAATGTGTCTTTTGTGAGAAGAAAACATTATATAAAGTGAATTACGGACACAGATATTTGTGCAAGACTTGCCTATATTTTGTGAACCAACTATATTTCTCAAGGAACTCTTTATCTTGAAATTAATATACAGGAATCACTTGAAAAAATATCATTGAGAAACACTGCTTTTCTGAAAAAAAGCAGAATTCATCTTTAGACTTTAGTATTTTTGGGGCCAATATAAGCTTTTACTTCCCAAAATCTCTTCAAAATATTTTCAATTTATTTGTTTTATTTTAAAATGTTCAGTTTAAATTTGATGTCCATTCAACATCTAACATTTAATATGAAATTATCTTTGATAAAAGAATGTTAAGTTATTTAGACAATCTTTTGGAAAGAAATTATCTAAAGAAGGTCCAGAAACTGGTTCTTTGAATATCAGTAAAGAGTAGCCAACGTGTAAACCAGTGTTGCACGTTGATATGTTGGTCATTTTTCTCAATCACCTTAGGAGGCCTTTTCCAAATTCACTCAAATAATCAGGGCTTTCAGTTGATACTTGATGACATATATCAATTTCAGAAGTCAAATAACATTTTCCCTGAAATTTGAAGGGTCTAAGCACATGTCAAATACAGGTATCCCTCGATATATTTCCTTGCCAGGAGATAATAACTCATTTCTTGCTAAAACACAACAAAGCTAGTATCTGTGTGGGATACAAAGCGAAAGTGTAGAAAATGGACCTAAAAATTAAAGTATTTACTAAAACTGAAAAGTTCAGATGTTATGGCCCAAACAAGCTTTACATTGACTTGATCTGGGGACTTTGATAGTACAAATCTGATGTTTGTTTGGGACAGATTCATTTTTTTAATTTGATTAAAAATATTGAGCTGTTTTGAAGAAATTACTTGTTTTACAAATTAAACATTTCAGCCTAAATAAAAAAAATCTGCAAGACTTTGCAGGTGATTTGTGTAAAGTGATTACCAGAAGAAAATTGATTTAATGTTTTTGTTCACTACCATATGATTATTTCAATTATCAAGAAACCAAATTTGTGTAGCAGAACTGGATGTGGTTGAGTCAATGTGTGCAAGCAACCTGGTGGCTTAATTGGTTCGAGTGTTCATCTAGAGTTCTGAGGTCCCAGGTATGAATCCCTGACTGGCGGTTATATTTTCCCTTTCCTGTTAAATATGACACCTAAGTTAATATACCCTTGGAAGGTGGTATAAAGACTTGTGTCTTCAGGGTGAAAGATTGTTGAAGGAGGGAGGAGTGGAGCGTTCCAGATATCAACTGGGTTGATTGCCAGTGACCGCACATAGAATTCGTTAATTAGGGTATCTGTCTAGAGGTCTGAGGTTTGCATGATCCTTTTCTGGCTGTTACATTTTCTTATATTTTCTTATATGTTATCATGCTTTGATTTGTTTAGATTTGCCTTAAACATGCACAATTGCAGTTTAAAATGTCGCCTCTGAAATAAACCATTGGGCCAAAATTTTGCAAAAAGACAATTCACAGCTTACCGTATGTAATGTACAGAACACTAAGGTGACATTACCAAATCATGAAAATGGATCGACAAATAATAAATTTCTTTATTCGTTCAGAATTCTGCAGATGATATATATTAGTTTATGGTTGTATCAAAAAAAGAATAGCAATGGATATTCTTACTAATGAAATTGTCAGCATTTTAACATTTTATGATGATCTTCAAAATTTGTATGAATACGGATTCCAACAGTCCAAAACAAAATACATAGTCCTTGCAGGCCTCATTTTTGAACAATGTAAACAAAAAAATAGATTTTGAGTTTGAAATACGTCTTCTTATGCTATTCTTACTTACTTGGATCCAATTTGGGTCCTCTCTCCTTATATTTTCTTTTTTAATCTAAAGCAGGGGCGAAGGTTCGTTACAATGTCTAAAATACACATACGCTATTCTGATATAGGCCACAGCACACATAAACGGTATCGGGTTGTTTCACCCTAAATCATGTTTGCCTCAGTTCTTTTCGCCCTATTCTTGATTATGATTAGTTATGAAGCTTAGAAGTTAGTTTTCCTTCTTGGGTCTTATCATCTGCTTTTGGGAGTATCCCATAATGCCTCACGTCCATTATAGTTGCGAAGGTAAACAAATATCTTTATCTGCCGTAATTAAAGTTACCTCAAATACCCAAAACATCGGCAATAGTAATTATTGCACTAGTATGAAAGCCTACCCATTGCTTGGGTGGTAGAGACGACATTTCTGATTGATGCGTCTGTTTTGTAGAGTAAGTCTGAACTGCTCGATGTCAGTCGGAGAAATGAGTCGTTTGCTACTGCATCCGCCGGCTTTTATACTTTCCGCCAGGGTTGCATCAGCCAATCAGCATCGAGCAATGACATCATGTTTGAAGTCTGCAAAAACTTGTCTAAACAATTGCAGAATTCTCTCCTGGAATTTTGCGGAATAATTATGTTTCCGACAGTTAAGAATGTACAAAACAATAACACATCACCTTATTGAAGCTACAAAGGGTCTAGGCATACTTCGTTTACATTTAAAGGTAAGCTTTAAGGTCTGAAATCATGTCTGAATCAAAGTTGACGAATCTCGCCATTTTGAACGGCATGTTCGAGCCAGTCATAAGCTGGAAGATATGTCTTATAACATGGGTGAAATCTACATATCAGTAGATAGTAAATTTGTAACATATACAGTCTGTGACGTTAACTATTTTCCTTACTAGTCATTTGGACTAGTGAACCCATTATTTTAATAGTCCAACTGTGAATTTGCTAGTCCAAATTACAGACTGCTCTTTTTTACAGCATGAAGTGTCAATTGAGATCTATATTGGAAAGTTATTAGAAATCAAAACAAAATGTCTCTCAATAATTAGCTAAAGAAACGGAGCATGGAATGTGATAGCCAATTATCTCTATATAGTATTACTGTTGTTTCCATCGAGCCTTTAAACACTAGCCAGAACCGTAATTTTTTCTTTCAAGTTGAAGCATTTTTTTCTGTCTGTTCACAGACAGGCTTAGCTGGTTTTGAACCTTTCCTCCAACTAAGCAATATCGCCATGGTTGGTTTCACATGGTTATAAACCGGAAGTAATGTTCGGTATCTACTAAAATCTGGAACCCAGTCTCGCGATCGCTCATTGAAACTTCAACGAATATGGTATTTTACAATAGAACTTGTGACAAGCTTTAAAGTGCAAAATATATACCATTAATAATATTTCCATTATTTTGGAGGAAAATTGCCACTAGTCCAGTCGGACTAGTTAAATATTTTCAATACTAGTCCAGACTTAAATTTAGTAGTCGTGGGCATCGGACTAGTGCCTAACGTCGCAGACTGCATATATATGGCTAATATAGTCATAATATGAAGCTTTTCAAGGTCTCCTTTAGCTTTTGTTTGTTATTTAGAACAAGACTCGTTAGATTTGTATGCGGTCCACCAGATCCGCACATGCAATGGATCATTGATTTTTTTCCAGTGGACTGCGACAAAAGTTTCATGTTATTTATGTGTGCTGTGACCCCGATCAGTATAGCATACGTGTATTTTAGACATTTGTAACGATCCCCTGTGTTTGGCATGACACAAAATTAATACTAATATATTTCATTAACTATGTTGCCAGGTAGTGCCAAAACAGTGGACAAAGTTCAAAAGATCAATACAGTCGAGTAGACAATAACTATACAAGTAGCCGGTATACAGTACAACAAGGGTTTCTTTAATGATTGATCAGCTCGGGTTACATTGTTTTTGAAACAGATGTTCACTCTGCAAGCGGCAAGACCAATAACTCATCGTTTTAACTCGCACTTCTCGAGAAAATAAAGAAAGAAAAACAAAGCGAAGTCATTCTAATCAATCGATATGCGTTAAAATCACGATATATACATAAACATAATGCCGAGTTCGCTCATTTACAGTGGGACTCCGCGGTCCGCTACACAACCAACGGAACGTCCCACCTCAAGCAGGCACTAGTGGCACTCTCATACGCCAAGAACGACTATCCTTACCTTTAAAGACATCGCAGGATTGCTAGAGCCTTTAGAATAATTTCCTAAAGCAGTTGTTTCGTCTACTAAGAATATTCTGTCACTCTACAAGCAGTCTGTCAAGTTCTCATCGTTGGGTCTGTCTTCAAGCGGAAATGCGCCAAAGGGACAAAGATTTTGGAATAGTTGCAAAACGTCTTCGTCACATAAACGCTTCACTCGTAAAGTGCACGTTTTGCCAAATATTTGAATCTAGCTTCCTGTGTTTCTTCATCTTTATTTAGTAGGCTATATAATTATAAGTGCGATTTACCATATTAAACAAAGCATCTTTAATTTTTTTCTCAAAGATGGAATGTGGGAAAAGAAAAAAGGATTAATGACCCTACATTTTATGTGTTGTGTGTGGATAAATATTGATACAGAATCTAAACTGTATCAAAAAGATCTCCTCCAGTTAACACTATATTAAAAAATAAAAAATTCTCTGTTGGAAAACATGTGATTTTAGAGGAAATAATCTTAAAAAAAAACAAAAAAAAACAAGAGGCCCAAAAAATGATGGGCCTGAATCGCTCACCTGGTATTAATCTCACACTTCTGATATTAATCTTACACAAAATATCAGTTTTTGATTCAAAAGAGTTAAACGTATGATCCCTGTGACCTTGAAAGTCAAAAAAGAACATTATGGGTATACATTTGCGTATCTGGTTGAACCGTTGAAACGGTTGAACCAGTAAAGAAAACGACAGGCACAGATCTGAACTGAGGCTGACATCAGGAAAATTCAGCACGTGTAGATTATATGGCGTCCAGACGTACCTGATAAAAACTAAAATGCTGACTTATATTGCTTGTTTACGTTATTTCTTTCTAAAACAATGACAAGTCACACGTAGTTTTTAAGATACATTATGTAATTGAGTGGACAGATATAAGAAAGGCATGCTATTCTTGATACATTGTATTTTATTCTCCAAAAATGTGCATTTCAGCTCTGCTTATAGAACGGTCCATTAGTGCATTCGGTCCAGCAGGCAGGCGGGCGGGCATTTCAATCGGGATACACATATGCACCTTAGGTGATTAAGTTGAACAGACTTTATAGCCTTTCATCTCCGCATGCTTTTTTTTCTATTATTATTTTTCTGTACCAATCATTTTACAGTCATTATCATATACATTTAGCATATTACGTATACATTAAACATACATATATACTTACATGATGGTCCATTAGTACACAAAAATATGCATGTTTATGTACTTTCTAGTTATATGTGTTCAGAAATTGAGACAAATAAAAAATCATTTATACTTTACACTTTCCAATTTCTGCCTGGTCTTTCTTGCTGCATTTGCATTCCCCCAGCATGCTTAGTCTGGCAAAATATCATTACCCTGGACCTTTTGGTTAAACATATTTGACCCCTGTGATGTTGAAAATGTATTAAGGTCATTCATTTGAACAAACTTGGTAACCATTTATCCAAGCATAATACTGGCCAAATTAACCATCACTCTGGTCCTTTTGGTTAAATAAAGAAGTTGTTGAATGATTTCAACATACTTGACCCCTGTGACCTTGAATATAAGTCAAGGTCATTCATTTTACAAACTTGGTAGTCCTTTATCCCAGCATGTTACTGGCCAAATATCATCACCCTATTATAAGGCCTCTTGATTAATAGGAAGTTGTTAAATGGTTTTAAACAAATTTGACCACTGCGACTTTAAATAAAAGTAAAGGTCATTCATTTGAACAAACTAGGTAGCCCTTCATCCCAACATGTAACTGTCCAAATAGAAGAAGTTGTTAAAACATATTTTAGTATATTTGACCCCTGTGACCTTAAAAATGGGAGAAAGTCATTCACTTGAACAAACTTGGTAGCCCTTCATCCCAGCATGTAACTGTCCAAATATCATCACTCCAGGCCTCTTGGTAATTCAGAAGTTGGTTAAAGGTTTTAAACATATTTGACCCCTGTGACTTTTAATATAAGTCGAGGTCATTCATTTGAACAAACTTAGTAACCCTTCATCCCAGCATGCTACTGGGCAAATATCATCATCCGAGGCCTTTAGGTTTTGAGGAAGTTGTTTAAAGGTTTTAAACATTTTTGACCCCTATGACCTTGACTATAAGTCATGATACTTTATTCTAGAATTGTTTTTGCATTTTACATTTCTCAAGATTAACCAACAGAAGTTATTTACAACTTTAAAACCAAAATTGCAGTCATTTAATTTTAAAAAAAGTTGTGGCAAAATATTTTTCATGATGCTAAAGTTTTTTAAATCGTATATTTCAAAGCTTATATCCCTAATATTCAATGACATCTGCACTTGGCTAGAGGAAAACTGCATACTTCTTTTTATATTTTCTAATAATTGGAAATAATAAAAAAAAAACATGCTTATTTAATACTCATTTATTCAGTTACTGAATTTATATTGTTTCCAATCATCCGAAAAAAACACCCATCACTTAAATTTCCAGTGTATACAACAAACAATATCATACATACATTTCTTACTCAAAGGGCATGAATCTGATACTTTGTTCTTACATGTCTGTATAGAATACCTGTTTCAACTCCCAAACAAACTACATGATCATGTACATCTTGTACATTATAACCCCATTCTGGCATTCTTATTCAAACATATTTATACTGCAATAGTTGATACTTGGTTACTTTTAAATATCAAAACTGACCTTGACCTTGGTGTAGGTACAAAAATATATTCTAAGATTTAGCATATGTTACATAGGGCTGACTTATGTTCTATCACATATTTCTCTGAGAAAATGACAAATGGTAAAGCTGGTCACTAATTCATTCTAACAGGCCAGTGAATGTCAAAGTACACCACTTTCTTAAACACCTTGTCCATAAAACTAGGGAACTCCAGTCTGCCTTCTACCTATTAACCAAATTGTCTATTAAACTAGGGAACTCCAGTCTGCCTTCTACCTATTAACCAAATTGTCTATTAAACTAGGGAACTCCAGTCTGCCTTCTACCTATTAAACAAATTGCCTATTAAACTAGGGAACTCCAGTCTGCCTTCTACCTATTAACCAAATTGTCGATAAGACTAGGGAACTCCAGTCTGCCTTCTACCTATTAACCAAATTGTTACTGTTCACTTTCTGAATAAAAATAAATAAATATGTATGTTTCATGAGCAGATGATTATATCAAAATGTGACTGACAACTATTTGGATCAGAAAGATGACTTGTGTCTGATATATTCAATAGATATCTGACTGGGAAAAGTTAAAATATCACATGTCACACAAGCAACATGGATTAGCGATTCTACAACAGGTGGCTGTTTCTGGAATAAACCGATTAAATTTTCCTTCTCTGTAAATGATAATTAATGTTGTTTCAATGGTGAAGTAAGCTTCACAAACCATGGTTAGTCACCCTCCCTAAAGATAACCCTACATAATGGATCATGGCTATAATAGAGACCCATATTACAAGTTACACATCAAGTTGGATAGTTTTGGATGTTTGATAGTTACACAGGTGCTGGTCACACTAATAAAATGTGCATGTGTATATACTATATTCTAGTACACTCGGCAACATTTTACACAGCATCACACACCCAATGACAAGGGCTGGCAATGTCTTTGCTATATTCATTTGAAAATAAAAACTGCAGTTCCATCTTTAAAATGCAATTAAAAACTCACTTCTATTTTACACAACTGCCATTCATACAAACCAAGCATCAATCAATAAATATTTCCACAAAAAAAACACCAATCATCCATACATATAGAAAGATATCTGTTTCCTTTCACCAACAAGGTAAAGGTTGTAAATGGTACCAATAGTGGTATACTATAAAAGTATATATTTTAGCAGTCATTTTATTAAAAACATTAAATAACTAGAACACTGACAGGTCAGTAAGGGCCCCGTCTTGTGGCAATATATCCCCCATAATCATCAAGAAGCAATCTGCCCATATAGCTGAGCTTGACGTTTGATATGTGGACTTCAAAAAGAATCGCAAGGAAGCAAAATATACATTTTACATGTACTATGATGTGAGTCTTGTTTCCTTCCACCTCCATATTTGCTGGGCTAACAGAAATGTAAATACCGGTGCAATACTCATTTTTAGCTTTGATTTGTTTTATTTAACCTTATATACCTCCTTCATCAAGAGCCAGGATCAAAGTCAGAGATCCACTTTGTCTTTGACCTTTGGACCCAAATGACATTGACCATTAACCCAGTGACCCTGATCTGTGGTCAGTTGACTTATTCTTTAATTCCGACCAACTTTGCTCTTTAACATCATATCAAAATGTTCATCAGTGAAAATACAAAACTTGACCTTGACCCTTTGAAACCCGTAACCTGGACCTAAGGTCAGTTGACTCTGTGTTAAGTTCTGAAGAACATTGCTTCATAATGTCATAGCAAAATGTTCATCAAGGAAAAGATACAAAATTTAACCTTGACCTTTGACCCAATGACTTGGGTCAGTTGACCTCTTGTTAAATTCTGATCAACTTTGCTTCATCATGTCATAGCAAAATAGTCCTCAGTAAAAAGGTGCATAATTTGACCTTGACCCCTGACCCAATGACCTTGACCTTTGGTCAGTTGACTCCTTGTTTAATTCTGATCAACTTTGCTTCATAATGTCATAACAAAGAGGAACAATACCGGACAATATCATAACAATATCACCAATGTAGTTTATAGTACTGAAATACATGGTTCAGTTCACATATATACCTAAGAATAAAATTAGAAAAAATAAACATTATTTATTGCCAATGTAGTTTATAGTTATATAATTAATAGTGTTTCAGTATATACACACATCACATATTTTTTGTATTCTTTCAATTCATCTTGTATTTAAATTTTAAAATGAGATCCTTATGTGTGTTATTAACCTTGAATTAGATCAGATTGGCTGGACCAACGTTACTATTTAACAATCAAACAATCTGTATCCAAGGTCCTCATCAATGATCAGACAGGAGCATAGTGAAAGACTGTTCTAGTATGGCTGAGACACTACACAGTCTTGTGTTGTTCCTCATGAGAATTGTGATGAAAGACAAAGGAGATGGCCGGGTTCCATGACCCTTTGAAGACCAGGTCATCAAGTCCTTTTTTGTCTGTAGAATGATGCCACAGAGACAAGTCTGAGTTACAATCAGAGCCCTCTGGTGGGGGTTTCACTTGGATATTATTCACACACCGCTTACACTTAAATCTATAAAACAAAGAAACACATTCATAGACAGCAATCAATATAAAACACAATAAAAAAATTGTCATTTCTATTCTGATTTTCTTCTCATTTATGTTTTGTTGATGAAAACTATTTTGAGAAAAATGGAAGATTCATACCGTGACAACAAAACAATAAAATAACAAATTTACAACCAGGTATTTTTACAGGAAAGAGATATTTTCGACAAAATATTTCATTTTCATTCCCAGCTTCAATTTTGAAAAGGAATAATCAATAATATGCAGACAAGCCTGAACATGTTCCTATGATCTTATATGTGGAGATGTACCAGGATATCAGGTTACCTTTATAACAATTCAACATCACAGTACATTAAATTTTCCAATGAACTCAATTCATGATTTCCAGCATTTATTAAGTAGTAATTGACTTAGGAAGTGATAGACTTACTTGTCATGTGTGTCACTGATAGTATTCTCGTTGAGTTTGAAGAGATCCTTGAGTTCGCCAAGGCTGAAGTGTCGCTCCACATCCTCCTCTTTGTCAATCACACAGGAGCTGAGCGCCTTTTTGTGGGCCTGGCGCTGAAAGATCTTCTCCTCTATTGTACCTGTCTGTGAAAAGAAAAACACATAAAAAAGATGCTATAGCATGAAACAGTGCCTAAGGGGAGACAACACAATAAATTTACACTGTACTAAATTGTGGATATTTTCCTTAAATCTTTTGGTAGATCTGACACCAATTTCACAAATCTTCTCAAAATTGAGATTTTTTATCTCAAATATGATAAAAAAATCGGAACTTCATAATCGTTTTCCTTTAAAACCAATCAAGTGTGTGATAATTGGGATAAAGTATGAACCTTTATTATTAGCAGGAAGACAATAAAACCAAATCTTTTGTCTAAATTCTAGACAATTTCCGCACAAATTAAGTACAGGTCCCTTACTGCTATGAGTCTATATATATAACACTGTTTCTTCTGGCCGTCTCTCCAGCACCTAGCCATGGCTTGATCGTCGTTAGCTGGGTTCCAGTCAGGATCAAACATTACCAGTCGGTTGGCACCTATCAGGTTTAACCCACACCCTCCAGCTTTACTACTCAGCATGAAGATGAACATTGCACTCTGTCAACAAAAGAGGTTTCTACTTCATTTGACATGCAACACAACAAATAAATTCCATGTTTATCATTATCAGCTTGAGGGAGATTTAAGACATTTTGCAACACATTTTGTATGCATATATGTAATATATAGATGGGCTAGAATTAATATTTGCATTCTGTTTTTTGGTTACATTTTGGACAAGTTAAAGGCCTTTCCACTAGAGAATTAAGACTAAATATAGCACATACAGATTGGATGAATTTTTTTCTTTCAGAAGGAGTAAAACCAGTCTATCCTTCTGATGATGGCATTATGATTATCATGGAACAGACATGTGTATGAACCAGAACAAATTACTGAATTTTGCTGGTCAGTTAAATGTTATTCACTGTATGAAAAGTTTGATGACAACATCTTCAAAATTATTCTGTAAAGAAATGGCAGGCTTACTTTAGGGTCATTGAAATTCTCTACAATCTTGGCTCTCTTCTTGATTGACATAGAACCATCCAGCCTTACAAAGATATACCTGTTCAATTAAGAACAAGTCTAGGCATCAGTTCGGAACCAACAGAGAAGAAAAAAAAGGTCAACATGTTTTAAAGATATCGTTAAATATTGAAATGAAGCATAAATAAATATATGTTGATTTAATGCTCAATTTATTTGATACCACAATTGTTGACTTCCTGCAGGTCTAAGGTTTGAACCATGCTGGCAGCAATAAGCTTTTTCTACTTTGGCAATTTATCAGGATTAATCTTATCTACCCATTTGTACAAATATAACCTGCATGCCAGGAAGTAACCCTGAGAAAAAGTGGTGTCTTTTCAGAAGGGGTCAATGACTTGTTAACTTATGCGATTGAAACTGAGCACAACATAGACTTTCTTCCTAATTTCCTAACAAATTTAGGGAGACGATAATATGCCGTTTTATACATACCCTCTCTGTCGACAGAGTTTTTCAAACAAGTCAAGTGTCTGAGTGTAGTTGGACACCAACACCACTTTATCACTGGTGGTCGACTTAACCATGGCCAGCAGACAGTCTAGTACCAGTACTTTCCCTGTAATACACAAGCAGTATATCATCACAGGACTTAATCATGGCCAGCAGACAGTCTAGTACCAGTACTTTCTCTGTAATACACAACCAGTATATCATCACAGGAATCAAAATAACATTTGTCAGTCTCTCAAACCTCACCAATACCGGAGAATGTGTTTTTAGCAACTATTGATGTTTTACCCGCACCTGATAGTTCTGGCCGCACAGTTTTCAAGTTGTATCCAGATGGAAATAGATCCAGTGAGCCTTCAAAACCATCAGCATCACCAATACATTTATCATAAATCAAATCAGGATCTACAAAATAAAAAATAGTTTAGATATTACATAAGGAAACTAAATGCATCCAAACAACACAAATACTCTAAACATTCAATGCCTGTACTGATTTCTAAAGAGAAAAGCCTAGTCAAATGGGGACTGAAATGATATGCCTCCACCCAACCCCCAGTACTGGGCGGCAAAATCGAATAAGCAACAACTTTTACCACTCACAACACTAAGGTCTGACAGCAAGTATGTAATGATTAATGAAAGTAAAACAATATGACGGGGGGAACCAGGTCTCAGTAATGATTAATGAAAGTAAAACAATATGACGGGGGGGACCAGGTCTCAGTAATGATTAATGAAAGTAAAACAATATGACGGGGGGAACCAGGTCTCAGTAATGATTAATGAAAGTAAAACAATATGACGGGAGGAACCAGGTCTCAGTAATGATTAATGACAGTAAAACAATATGACGGGAGGAACCAGGTCTCACATCCTGTGCCCTCGCCATTCGTATTTTGCTTCTTTTTCAGGAAATGCGTTGAACCATTCAGGTCAACACCTTCCAGGCACAATCAGTCAATCAGTAATATCAATAACATATGATTATCTTGCATCCTATTGTATTTTTCTTTAGGTCACTTACGGTTACAAAGTTTCTTTAGTTGTGTGATGAAGGAAAGACTGGTTCCGGTGGGTCGTCCGTCACGCTCCATGTCAGGGTCGCCAGCCTTGGATTTGACCAGCAGCTGATACAGGGCCGTCTGAAGGGGAGTCAGGCGACAACACACCACCTGCTCAACTACAAATCAATAGACATGTTTTACATAAAGAGTTACTTCCCTTTGGGTATACTAGAAACATTAAACATCAAATTTATGCCTTGGAACAGATATGTATAAGAATAAGCTCATTTTACTTATTGGGTATGTAGAATACAGTGAAACATGGTAATCATATGGACGTTAGAAAGGTATTTGCCATAGCAAAATTTCATTACAGTGTTTGATGTTCATGTCTGAGTCAATTCCTTGTTTGAACACAAATACCACTTTAAGAGCTATACAGATATGGCTGGCAGGGAGGCTCTTCACTGCATCAATGTTACATGCCTGAATGAACACAGATGTACAATACAAACATGCTAGGACACATTTTGTTAAAATTATTTTGCACAATAGACAGTTTTCACTACCTGTTTCCTGTAATTTTTTGAAGCAGAAACGCAAGAGTTATTATCTTCGGCCATACTTTTACGTTTATTAAACAAGAGTTATTATCTTCGGCCATACTTTTACACTTATTAAACAAGAGTTATTATCTTCGGCCATACTTTTACGTTTATTAAACAAGAGTTATTATCTTCGGCCATACTTTTACATTTATTAAACAAGAGTTATTATCTTCGGCCATGCTTTTACGTTTATTAAACAAGAGTTATTATCTTCGGCCATGCTTTTACGTTTATTAAACAAGAGTTATTATCTTCGGCCATACTTTAACGTTTATTAAACAAACTGAACCTGTATTTTTCATGATCTAGCATCCAGCAATATTTTTGTTTTTCAATATAATTCAATTATAAGTCACAATTTCCTCCTTTAAGGAGAACTGTTAAGCTGAGGTGATTGACTGCTTACTTTTGACAGGTAGGTACTTTGTCAGCAGGGCCTGGGTCCTTCTGATGATGCACTTGTTTACTATAGCAGCCAGCTAAAACAAGCAGGTTAAAACTCAAAAGGATGCAATGTTTTAAATGAAATAATAAATTATCAAAATTCTTCTTTACACCTTTCTCATTAGTAATCTTTTGGGACTTAATAACTGATACTAACCTCTAAGACTAGGGATGATCAATCAATGCACAGTGATACTTAATAACTGATACTAACCTCTAAGACTAGGGATGATCCATCACTGCACAGTGATACTTAACCAATACATGCATTGATATGCAGTTAACAGGTCTGTTGCATTAGGATTTATTGTTTCTATGTGAAAACTTCAAATGAGGTTGTTTTAATTAACACAGTACACTCATGGTAAACAGTGTTCATTGCATTATGGAACTGCTGAAATGTTCTGATAAAATATTTATGTGACAAATTAAGATACAAGATTTTGGTATGGGTGTTGAAAAATCTCCATAATGCTAATAGATTTGGATTGGAAATCACAGAACTGACTCCTTGTGGGATCATGCAATGTATTGAATTGTAAGAAAAGCATTGTCATAGTAATTATAGCAGGCTTTCAGTGCAATACCCCCCTCTACTAACCTCCAGAAGTTTCTCCTCACCCCTCTTGTGTTCAGAGTCTGAAGATGCAGCATCTCGGCCACGAAGGATTGGAGTTTCAAACTTACGCTTAAACTCTTGGGCAGTACCTGGTGACCAAAGATGAAATAAAACATATTAAAATTTGTTTATCATGGAAAAATACCAACTGGAAGCCACATATCTACTGCTTAATTTTCCTACCTGTTTTATATTTTAGTGTCAAATTTGACAATTTTAGAAAAGCAAAATAAGACCGAACAAGTCCATTCATCTCTAAATGAAGATAATTTATTTTGTATAATCATTTTAACCTATCCTAATTTGCTGAGGGCTGATAGCAGGAGCAAAGCTATCCATTTTAAGTCTTACCAAGGATTCCTCCATTGACAAAATGGATGAGACTGAAGTATTCCAGGAGGTCGTTCTGTATGGGGGTGCCCGACAGGAGGATGCGGCGCTGGGCCTTCAGACTGTTTAGGGCCTGGTATGTCTGATTCTCACAGTTCTTTAGTCTGTGGCCCTGAAAAATGTCAAAAGTCAATCATTTAACAAAATATTGTAATCACCAATAAGACTTGAGAAAGTCGTTATCTTTTGGAGAGAGATCCACATCATCAATAAATAGATACTGATAAGATTAATATCAGTTGACAAAAACAGTTAAGATAGTATTTGAACAATCCTACCACCCCTACCGTCCCTAGTTCAACCTTCTCTTTACATGAATATTTCTGTTAAAAACACATACAATATGTCAGTAAGTCATCACTGCCCCAAATCAAATGCAAAAAAGTGTCATTGTTTGACAAATATGTAGTAACAAATACCTACCAAATACCTTGGATTTGACCTTTGAACCCTGAAGTAGAAACTCATTTGAGGTATTCCATACTTGACCTTCTTGAAGAGACGAAGTTTGCTAAAGCAGTGACAGTGAATCGGGATGGAGTAGGATGAATATTGGCAAAAATATGTCCCCACCCGACCCCAACAGCAGGGACAGAGAATCGGGATGGAGTAGGATGAACATTGGCAAAAATATGTCCCCACCCGACCCTAACAGCAGGGACAGTGAATCGGGATGGAGTAGGATGAACATTGGCAAAAATATGTCCCCACCCGACCCCAACAGCAGGGACAGTGAATCGGGATGGAGTAGGATGAACATTGGCAAAAATATGTCCCCACCCGACCCCAACAGCAGGGACAGTGAATCGGGATGGAGTAGGATGAACATTGGCAAAAATATGTCCCCACCCGACCCCAACAGCAGGGACAGTGAATCGGGATGGAGTAGGATGAACATTGGCAAAAATATGTCCCCACCCGACCCCAACAGCAGGGACAGTGAATCGGGATGGAGTAGGATGAACATTGGCAAAAATATGTCCCCACCCGACCCCAACAGCAGGGACAGTGAATCGGGATGGAGTAGGATGAACATTGGCAAAAATATGTCCCCACCCGACCCCAACAGCAGGGACAGTGAATCGGGATGGAGTAGGATGAACATTGGCAAAAATATGTCCCCACCCGACCCCAACAGCAGGGACAGTGAATCGGGATGGAGTAGGATGAACATTGGCAAAAATATGTCCCCACCCGACCCCAACAGCAGGGACAGTGAATCGGGATGGAGTAGGATGAACATTGGCAAAAATATGTCCCCACCCGACCCCAACAGCAGGGACAGTGAATCGGGATGGAGTAGGATGAACATTGGCAAAAATATGTCCCCACCCGACCCCAACAGCAGGGACAGTGAATCGGGATGGAGTAGGATGAACATTGGCAAAAATATGTCCCCACCCGACCCCAACAGCAGGGACAGTGAATCGGGATGGAGTAGGATGAACATTGGCAAAAATATGTCCCCACCCGACCCCAACAGCAGGGACAGTGAATCGGGATGGAGTAGGATGAACATTGGCAAAAATATGTCCCCACCCGACCCCAACAGCAGGGACAGTGAATCGGGATGGAGTAGGATGAACATTGGCAAAAATATGTCCCCACCCGACCCCAACAGCAGGGACAGTGAATCGGGATGGAGTAGGATGAACATTGGCAAAAATATGTCCCCACCCGACCCCAACAGCAGGGACAGTGAATCGGGATGGAGTAGGATGAACATTGGCAAAAATATGTCCCCACCCGACCCCAACAGCAGGGACAGTGAATCGGGATGGAGTAGGATGAACATTGGCAAAAATATGTCCCCACCCGACCCCAACAGCAGGGACAGTGAATCGGGATGGAGTAGGATGAACATTGGCAAAAATATGTCCCCACCCGACCCCAACAGCAGGGACAGTGAATCGGGATGGAGTAGGATGAACATTGGCAAAAATATGTCCCCACCCGACCCCAACAGCAGGGACAGTGAATCGGGATGGAGTAGGATGAACATTGGCAAAAATATGTCCCCACCCGACCCCAACAGCAGGGACAGTGAATCGGGATGGAGTAGGATGAACATTGGCAAAAATATGTCCCCACCCGACCCCAACAGCAGGGACAGTGAATCGGGATGGAGTAGGATGAACATTGGCAAAAATATGTCCCCACCCGACCCCAACAGCAGGGACAGTGAATCGGGATGGAGTAGGATGAACATTGGCAAAAATATGTCCCCACCCGACCCCAACAGCAGGGACAGTGAATCGGGATGGAGTAGGATGAACATTGGCAAAAATATGTCCCCACCCGACCCCAACAGCAGGGACAGTGAATCGGGATGGAGTAGGATGAACATTGGCAAAAATATGTCCCCACCCGACCCCAACAGCAGGGACAGTGAATCGGGATGGAGTAGGATGAACATTGGCAAAAATATGTCCCCACCCGACCCCAACAGCAGGGACAGTGAATCGGGATGGAGTAGGATGAACATTGGCAAAAATATGTCCCCACCCGACCCCAACAGCAGGGACAGTGAATCGGGATGGAGTAGGATGAACATTGGCAAAAATATGTCCCCACCCGACCCCAACAGCAGGGACAGTGAATCGGGATGGAGTAGGATGAACATTGGCAAAAATATGTCCCCACCCGACCCCAACAGCAGGGACAGTGAATCGGGATGGAGTAGGATGAACATTGGCAAAAATATGTCCCCACCCGACCCTAACAGCAGTGATTATTCTACATTTTGTTTTTAGGAGTCCTTTTTAACTGTATTGTTAAGAAGTATGGGTCCACCCATGTTAATTTTCAGTACTTCCAGAAAATGTTACAGGTACCAATACAAATCTATGGGTATAGCCAGGACTTGGGGGACTTAATTGTTAATTGATTGCTGTAACAGGGTCCTTATTATGGAAGAGGAGACCATGTGAAAGAAATGTTCATATTGGTGAAGTGGTATTCTTCTGACATCCAATGCTGTGGATTTCATAATGGATTTCTTATTCCACCATTTTATTTTTTTATCTATTATCATAACAAATTGTAAATTAAGGTAAATGTAGCAATGTGTTGTTTAGTCCTTTTCACACTTTAGATATGGCACTAAATTGTATTTGCACATTTTGTAAGTATGTCAATTAATCAATGCATTAATTTGTTAAATATTCCAATAATGTTTGATAAAGCGCTAAATTTTGTATGCGCTAATATAACAGCATTAACTGGCGTTCAAGAGTTTTCTTCTTTTTAACACAATACAATGATGGGAAGGAAGGACAATATATTTCCCTTTTAATAACACATCACTCTCTCTTATCACCCTTGTACCTCATCGCAGATCACAAGGCCAATGGTGCCCTTCAACATAACTTTGGAGTGATGTCGTAGAGTTTCGTAGGAGATGATGAGGACTGGGTTGGGGATACGTCTGCCACGCTGCTGCATAAAATGGCCTACAAACCATAAATCATCAACAAAACTATAAAATACAGAATGTTTAAGCCCAAGTTCTTACATTTACAAATAACTTTAGCGATCATTTTCAACATAAAAAAATTGTTGTGGAATTTTTCAAAAATATACCATTTACGTCATCACTTTCTGTAAAACATTATTAAAGGGACATTCAGGTAAAGTAACAAGCAAAATTCTGCATTTTCCTTCATTCAAAATAGAGAAAGTTTGTCTTCCTCATGAATTCAAAGTATCCCCTAAATGTTGCTTTACTGTTAAATCACTTTGATATTGCCGAAGATGAATGTAATTCAAAGAACTGATAATTGTGAATTCAAATACTGTATCTTGCATTCATTTATTCAGGCACATTAAGCAATTGTACATATTTACATTTGAAGCAAAACTACAAGAAAAACAGTGTAGCCTACAACAGTGAGAGGCTGGTAAAGGAGTATCATTGCCTTCTACATACCTAAGTCTCGGTCGATGTCATCCTTGGAGCCGGAGTCGATCACCAGACAGTTAATTACAGAACCTAACCACTTGTAAATCTCATTTGCCCAGTTCTGAAAGTAACAAATTCGAGTTGGATACTTGATAATTAGTTCACAATAGATTTTACCTAGATAATCTTTTCATAAAATTACATTTGTTTGAAATAGTCTCAACATTTCTGTGTCTATTTTCATTACATCTATATTTGGTAAAACAAAAATAATAATTAACTCATGCATCAAATTTTACTTTTTCTTTCACCAAATTTAGAAGTATCTCTGTATGGTATTTAAAATTTAGATAATTTGCTAAAATTAACCCCAAATTTCCTTTTTGGGCACTTATTGAAATNCCCCCCCCCCCCCCCCCCTTCCAGAACACCCCTTATTCTAGTCCTTTCTAGTCGAAACAATAAAGTACATGTACTATATGTTTACACTTTACATCAGACACTACTATCTCCCAATCTGTTTTTAGTATTTTAGAAACAAAGAGAACAATTTTTGAAATTCTCCCTGGGAATTACGACGACAATTAATCTATGTCCCATTGACAGTAACTGACACAATATGTGCCATGTTATCTTGATAAATGGCTCCTTCTGCAAATTTCCAAGCACCTTGGATGATTATAATGGTGAATACAGTATTACCATTTTAAACTTGGATCTACTGACCTTGACAAGGCTACTTGGAGACACAATGGCAACCTTGTCAATGAGTGGCTTACAGTCAGGGCTTTGTCTCTGTAGAATAATAGAATGCATTCAAGAGAGATATACAGTCAATGTTCCGATGTAGTTCATTTGGAAGTGTATTCAAGAATAAGATATTTGCAAAAATAAGATTTTGGTGTTTACATGTACATTTTTCTAAATGGCTCCTCAAGATCTGTTATTAAAGACGAATGCAGGCTGCTTCCCCTAGAAAAACAGGCTTTATGTTTTCCAAAATGAAGAAAAACTGAGGAAATATCTACCCAATTTCAATAAATTAATGCTATATTTTCTCAATTTGTAAAGGAACAGGCTGTTGTAAAATTTAAGTAGAAAAACACTGGTAATACTCAACATTAAATTAATGACAGAAATTCAGAAGTTAATAAAAGTATTCCTTCCACTATACAGTTGCCTTTCTTTGTCAGATATCAATTTAAGAATAGAGATGTTCAGTTGCAACCATTTCACATTTTGATTCATTATATATATGTTCAAGCAGACAACATACCAGTAATGTCCACATCAGAGTTATACACTGCAGTGTCTTTCCAAGGCCCTGTATAAAATGAGAAAAAAAAACATTAAAGAAAATGGTGCTTCAAATTTAATAATATACTCATTTTTTTATATATAATTTGTCAGACAAACTCATGTTTACAGAATGACAAAACAGATGGACAAACACACTGATTCCAGTACACACCAGTGTGGAGGGTTTATTAACTTTTTAATCAACACAACAATACCAGATATCTAATCAACAAAAAAAAGTGTTTTCCATATAAGGACAACGACTAATTTCTGTTTTGTTTAGGACCTTTAATAAATTCACGACAGCTATATATGGTCATATGAATACAAGAGCCTTGGGACACATTGCTAAAAAGAAACACTGGCTAGGAAATCATCTTTGAAATTAAAGGGTTCCACTTGTGATATGAGAGAATAGAAAAGATAGAGGTTTTAAAAGTTGCAATGGAGGCAGATCAGTTCTTGTTTCTTCAATGTCCTTTATTAAAGCAGAAAACAAGAAAAATACTGATTCTGCAGACAGCCCGACATTTGTCAAATCTTCAATAAAATGTAGTGGGAAACATATCTATTCTTCCAAGAAACTGTATTTGATTCAAACGTCTTTTATTTTCAAAACTCAAATGCGATCATACTCAATGATCAGATTCATATGGCATTAGAGAAAGCACATCTACAATTGAACAGAATTCTACTACAATGGGGCATGTTCTGGATTTAGAGATAAATATCCATGGACACAAACCATTTCATCTGCCATAATACATCCATAGCTCTCCGGTATCTGTACTCCAGTCACACAGTCATACATAAACTTCACACCCTGAAAATACAAAGATCTCTAAAATGTTTCTGTAACCTTGTAACATGCACATCTTCAAAACATTAAAACCAACCATGATATTCCTGGCCACAAACACTGATTGAAAACCTGTTGGAATTTATCATAAGTCTTGGCGAATTCATAAGGACAAATAATTGGGACTCAGAATTCAGTTTTGTAACATTCACTGGTCTTGTAAATATCATAATAATCTTGCAATAAGCTCATGTGTCACTATGAAATGTGGAATCATAAGTTGTGGAGTGGTTTTTCTATTAAAAGGATAAAGATTATATAAGAAAATGAATCTGAGGCCCCTGGAAAGGATTGGTGGGTCTATTGCCAGGCATGGGCTTACTTATATTGCTGAATAAACATGGTACATATACAAATACGTGTTCATATAAAACTTTTGCATATTATTGAAAGAAAATCACCGTTTATGACCAGTATGGTATGCCTGCATCACAACATTGTCTGTAAACAAATTATATGTAAAAATTACAAAATACATGTCATCAATTCAACTCAATATTGACACAAACTTTTTTCGCTACCTACTTACCTCCCTTTGATGAGGCCGTAAAACTAGAGACAGCTTGGGATCTACCACTACATGGACAGGAACTTTTTCTCTGTTCAACGAAAATATATATAGTCAATTTCAATTTCAATAAATTATATTGTCAAAGGACAAATGGATTGGACAGCAGGCATAGCCTATTTAAGCCCTTTCCAAACATAGTAACAAACAGTGGTACAAGCATAGACAAAGACGTTAGAACACATACAAACACATATATAAACAAGTTGGTATTATCAAATTAATAATTAAATTAGGGGAAACAACTACTAATACTCATTTTTATTATAATTGAATCTAATGGTTTAAATTCTAACCTTTTATTTTGATACCGAAAAGACATATAATATATATATATATTATATATATATAGTAGATAATAAATAAATAAGTCCTTGCGAAGGAAAATATAGAATAAAAACATTATTTTTTCAGATCGCCTTTTTGCCTTCTAGGGCTTCTTCAGGCGGATCTATTAGTCCATTATTTTATACATTAAATAGTCCGTAGATAATTGAGATTTTTCACATTTACCGGGCCAGATTCCCATGTGCACATGTTCCACATTTTTTATATCTCGTCCCTTTTTTCTGGTGCTTATCTCTCGTTGACTCACTTTATGTGATAGTGCATCTTGCGCAAGAATAGGTCCTCTACCTATATTTAGTAGTTAAAGAGTTTTCTAGAGGGATTCTTCTCCGATTTTGGTTATCATTTGGCGGGTCGTCGTTGTTTCATTGGGCCACTAGTCGTCTTAGTGCACTTTCGCTATAGAGCAGAGCCAGCGAGCGTTCTGATATTTAGACTGTCAGCTTTCCTTGTCCGCGATGCTCTTAGCTTAATTGCTGCCTTCGGCTGTCTTTAGCTGAGGGGGCTATTGCATTTATATAATAGCTATATTTTCAATTATAGTATATCAGTTCTATCTTCTTGTAATATGATGTATATGTACATGTAACTGTTCTGTTTCACTGTGTCTTGATAAAGGAGTGGATCGCTTCGAAAATTTGACAACCTAAACTTGTCCACACTGTTGGAATTACTTCTTTGCCCCATATATATATATATATATACATATTATGAAGAGAAAAGAAAAAAAATTTGTTGATGGAGCTGCATGTATAAACATTTGATGGGATTAAACTACGCACCCAACAGAAACAGGCCAAAAAGTCCATTGTAATACATACTCCAAGATCATTTTGAATATTATGCACCTCAATCAGACACTTTACAAGGTAACAGGAAAATTTTACTAGAAAAAAATACCCAGAACAATTATTGTTATTTTTTCAGATTCTTAAGTATATAAAGTCACTCAAAGTTTAATAAATTCTGTTACGACCCGGTGAAAAAAAATATTAGGTAAAACAATGTTATTTTAATGTAGGTGCAACACCTACCAGCCTATCTCATTCTATTCCTGTTAATTTTCTGACTCTGTAAACAAGCTATGGTTGAAAATCATGATTACACTGGTATGACTTACATGTCAACTTTAAGCTGTTCATGAGCACTGAGTTCAGTTGGGGTGTAGAGAATGAGAGCTCCTTCCTTCTCAGGGTCATGAAGGGGCTGTCTGGCCCCCTGTCTCCTCACACCCAAGGCCTTACCCAAACAGGAACCTGAATGGAAATAAGAAGTGTGTAAGTATGGGTCATGATACAGAGAGCAGAGACGACATTATTTGTCTTTGGGAGAAAATATCTTGTCAAGTTTGCAAAAGATATATCATGGACCGAAAACACCTACTATACATACTAGTGATTACACCGACAATTGTCAGTGAAAAACATAAATCCACCACACAGACAAATGTTACAGGTCAAATACATCTACATAGCCAACTGTCACAGAGGACAAAATATATCTACAATACAGACAAATGTCACAGGACAAATATATCTACATAGACAACTGTCACAGAGGACATAATATATCTACTAAACAGACAAATGTCACAGAACAAATACATCTACATAGACAACTGTCACAGAGGACAAAATATATCTACTACAGACAAATGTCACAGGACAAATATATCTACATAGACAACTGTCACAAAGGACAAAACATATCTATTATACAGACAAATGTCACAGGACAAATACATCTACATAGACAACTGTACATAATATATCTACTAAACAGACAAATGTCACAGAACAAATACATCTACATAGACAACTGTCACAGAGTACAAAATATATCTACTATACAGACGAATGTCACAGGACAAATACGTCTACATAGACAACTGTCACAGAGGACAAAATATACCTACTATACAGACAAATGTCCCAGGACAAATATATCTACATAGACAACTGTCACAGAGAACAAAACATATCTATTATACAGACAAATGTCACAGGAAAAATACATCTACATAGACAACTGTCACAGAGGACAAAATATATCTACTATACAGACAAATGTCACAGGACAATTACATCTTCATAGACAACTGTCACAGAGGACAAAATATATCTACTATACAGACAAATGTCACAGGGCAAATACATCTACATAGACAACTGTCACAGAGGACAAAATATATCTACTACAGACAAATGACACAGGACAAATATATCTACATAGACAACTGTCACAGAGGACAAATTATATCTACTACACAGACAAATGTCGCAGGACAAATACATCTACATAGACAACTGTCACAGAGGACAAAATATACCTACTACACAGACAAATGTCACAGGACAAATACATCTACATAGACAACCGGCACAGAGGACAAAATATATCTACTACACAGACAAATGTTACAGGACAAATACATCTACATAGACAACTGTCACAGAGGACAAAATATATCTACAATACAGACAAATGTCACAGGACAAATATATCTACATAGACAACTGTCAAAGAGGACAAAATATATCTACTAAACAGACAAATGTCACAGAACAAATATATCTACATAGACAACTGTCACAGAGGACAAAATATATCTACTACACAGACAAATGTCACAGGACAAATACATCTACATAGACAACTGTCAAAGAGGACAAAATATATCTACTAAACAGACAAAAGTCACAGAACAAATATATCTACATAGACAAATGTCACAGAGGACAAAATATATCTACTACACAGACAAATGTTACAGGACAAATACATCTATATAGACAACTGTCACAGAGGACAAAATATATCTACAATACAGACAAATGTTACAGGACAAATACATCTACATAGACAACTGGCACAGAGGACAAAATATATCTACTACACAGACAAATGTCACAGGACAAATACATCTACATAGACAACTGTCACAGAGGACAAAATATATTTACTATACAGACAAATGTCACGGGACAAATACATCTACATAGACAACTGTCACAGAGGACAAAATATATCTACTATACAGACAAATATCACAGGACAAATACATCTACATAGACAACCGGCACAGAGGACAAAATATATCTACTATACAGACAAATGTCACAGGACAAATACATCTTCATAGACAACTGTCACAGAGGACAAAATATATCTACTACACAGACAAATATCACAGGACAAATACATCTACATAGCCAACTGTCACAGAGGACAAAATATATCTACTATACAGACAAATGTCACAGGACAAATACATCTACATAGACAACCAGCACAGAGGACAAAATATATCTACAATACAGACAAATACATCTACATAGACAACTGTCACAGAGGACAAAATATATCTACTACACAGACAAATATCACAGGACAAATACATCTACATAGCCAACTGTCACAGAAGACAAAATATATCTACTATACAGACAAATGTCACTGGACAAATACATCTACATAGACAACTGTCACAGAGTACAAAATATATCTACTATACAGACAAATGTTACAGGACAAATACATCTATATAGACAACTGTCTCAGAGGACAAAATATATCTATTACACAGACAAATGTCACAGGACAAATACATCTATATAGACAACTGTCACAGAGGACAAAATATATCTACTATACAGACAAATGTTACAGGACAAATACATCTATATACACAACTGTCTCAGAGGACAAAATATATCTACTATACAGACAAATGCCACAGGAAAAATACATCTACATAAACAACTGTCACAGAGGACAAAATATACCTACTACACAGACAAATGTCGCAGGACAAATACATCTACATAGACAACCAGCACAGAGGACAAAATATTTCTACAATACAGACAAATACATCTACATAGACAACCAGCACAGAGGACAAAATATATCTACAATACAGACAAATGTCACAGGACAAATACATCTACATAGACAACTGGCACAGAGGACAAAATATATCTACTACACAGACTAACATTTTTTAATTGAAATTAAATGTGAATCTTGTTCACATTACTCAAGCTCATTCCATGTGTACTTGTAAATTTTGATCAAATTCTGCTAAGAAATGAAGTCACTATAGGAATGAAAGTGAACTAGGATGGGACACGGATGGACATGGGTGATACTATATGCCAATACCCCTCAAAATGTTGGAGCGTAGAAATTTCATGATATATTTTGATCAATTCAGTCATTAGTTACCTTTGTAATTAGGAATTGGAACCTTAAATGGTTTTGACAGAATTTTCTTGATAAAGGCCTCCTGGAAATATAAAAGATAGAATAAGATCAGACAATGATACCTCTAGGAGTACAAACAAGTTGAGAGTATTTTATACAGCATCCATGCAGTTATATAATTTGTAGGTATTTGTTGCACTAACTTATTCTGATGACATGCTATTTGAGACAAGATCAAATTAAAAATACTCGCTGTGGGTCAAATGTCTTCATTTATTTCTAACATTTACATTTAACGTGATATGACATTTTTAACATTTCAGAGAATCCTCTGATCTCATATGTCCAAATTATATCAGACCCTATTGTGATAAGCCTGTCAAATAGTAAACCAACAATTCCTAGTTTTCTTTTTGTATTCGAAGAGAAAATTCACCAACTTTAAATTTAGTTTCAAAGAGTCAAATGCTTAAAATGTTTCCTCTTTCCTATTTTCATATATGATTTCTCTGCATATTCCCCCCATGACCCCAACCCGAAATGATTGTCATGACTATTTTAAATTTTGCTACTTCAAAATCTGAACAGATGCATTTTTCCTCTTCTGAAAGTCACAGGTCTTTGTATATGTCGAAAGAAAGACTGACGTAAATCACCAATATGAATAAACTCGTGTAAGCATACATGAGAAAAGGCATCAGGACAACTGGATGTGTTGGTGATGCTGGACAGGGGCCGACGCTGCACCATCTCATCAGTTCTCTCATCCTTGTGAAGTGTCTTAATTCTCTTTACCTGTCACAGAGGGACAATTTGGAAATCAATTGAAAACACATAATATATATAACAGGATTTTGCCAGCTTTTTTGGTAAAGGGCCCCTGAGCAGGCATTGGGAAAAAGTCATCGGCATTTGGCAAAAATTGGGAAATATCATCAGTGTTCTCACATGCAAAGGTTCGGGGAAATATCATAAGTTTTGAGAAATGAAACCTAAAATGTGATTTGAAAAATGTTTTCCTCTAGCTATTTTTTACAGTAAAATGTATAGCAATAAATAAAAGAATCAATTTTCAGTGTTTTTGTTTACTCAATTTCAAATTTCTGTTATTTGTGTATTTTGAATGCTCTTTCATGAACGGTAACACTTTGAACGTTGTACATATAACGACTGGAAACTTGTATAGTATAAACATGCTTTTTTTTAACTAATTGTGAAAATAAAGACTGAAATAAGGAAAATACAGAGTTATTTTTCAATTGGGAATGGGTCCCAATACTGGACCCTATAAAATACACCTGGCAAAAACCCTGTAAAAACCACTTTGATACTTTTTCATGAATTTGTTCTTTTCAAAGATTACTTTTAAGGCTTTAAATTCATTAACACTAACAACACATTTTAGCTTGTTGAATGTGTTGAAATAGTTTGGGGATATGAAAATTCAGGAACTGATTGTCTCCCTTTGGAATATAGCCAGCAAGCAAATATGACTGATTAAAACTAATGCAATTAATACAAATTTCTATGTCAAGTCTGAAAATTTCAGGATTTTCAATATTGACTGGACATTATTTAAGTTTCTAAATCATCTGATAAGACAAAATAAGATCAATATGGTCTTACAAAAAGGTCAGAAATATATGCCAATGTTTACTATGGCCTGGAAATTTAAAGCTTTCTTATCAAACGTCCACCTTTAGTAAGAAGATCAAAAATATGCAAGAGAATTATGTAGATGACACTGTATTAATCATTATAACCCTTTTCAACATATTTTATTTTTGGTGGTGGTGGTGGGGGGGGGGGGGGGGGGGGGGGTGAATGAAGGTGGGAGGGGTGCTTTTTGAGGCATACAAGATAAAAATAAATGAATAAATAATTAGATAAAAATACATCTATAATGATGTTCATACAAAATTGACAATGAGATTGATGGAACTTTGGGACAATTGTACCAGATTTTCCTACATTATCACACAAAAGACCCCATATATATATAGACAAAATCAAATTAAAAACATTTGTTTTACGAATCTCTAATTCCTGAAGTTCATATTACTTTTAATACCTGTCACAGAATATTTGTAATATGTTTTACCTGAGGGAAACCTTCCTCAGACCTCCTTTGTGTGGAACAGACAATTGCCCCTCTCTGACTAGGGGCCTGGCTACGTCTCTGTCAATAAACATATAACATGCTAAATGTGAAATAAAATATCTCTAGACTCATTCAAAGAACAATAGGAAGTATGTATTAACCGCTGCCTCTTGGTTATTCAAAGAGATAGCTTAAAGATTGCAACAATATGACCCTGTAACCTTCTTAGTGAATCAATGACATCCATTTCATTTTGTAAAAAAACAAACAGTGGTTCCTCTACACTCCAGTATGCTACTGGCCAAATATTATATAATTTATGTATTAATATGATCCTACGGTTTTTGTTTATCTTAAAGAAGTTGTTCAACCGTTTTTAATTATATAAACACATGATGCCTGTAACTCTGAAAGAGGGCTAAGGTCATTCATTTCAACAAACTTGCCAGCTCTTATTACTCGAATTTCCAAAATGACTCTTATACCATTATTATGCCAATTACTGATTTTCCCAATTTCTTCTTGTTGTTAAGTGTAGGACTCATTTTGACAGAATCTACATCCAAAAAACTATCTGACCCAATTGGATGCTTAATTTTACACATTTTTGTTAATTTGTTCGCATTTAAAGAGGATCAAGGTCATTAATTGAACTGAGATTGATATATAGATATATAGCCATTCACTCCAGCATGCTAGCTACCGTATACCATGACCCTGGGTCATTCAGAAAAAATATTTTAATGTTTCCACACATTTCTGTTTCATGCAACTGAACAAACAAGGTACTAATTATAAGCCCTTCATTCCAACATGCTACTTTAGCCAAATATCATGACTCTAACCACTCTTGTCTTTTTCAACTGTTGTTCAAAAGATTTCTGAACGGATTTGATGAGTCTGTGACTGAAAGGTTATTCATTTGAATAAACTTCATAGTTAATGTCCATAGGCCATTTGATTTGGTTATTGATATATCTCATTAAATGATTTTCATGAGTTCGACCCGTACATGACCTGATTTTTTTTTGTCAAGGTCATTCATTTGAACATTCACTGCACTAGCCCTACATAGGGATAATCCTGGAAGGGGCAATTGACCCCTCAAAGCTGAAATTGACCCCTCCATGTTCCAATTTCATTTTATTTTACATAGAATGACCCCTCTGAATTTTGATAATGACTAAAAATTGCTGAAATGGCCCACTGCTCTTGAATTCCAGGATTTTCCCTGATGACGCTAATAATATGGGACTTCTTGGTTCAGAAGAAGTTGTTTAAGTTGATGCTAGACATCGGATAACTGCTGGAATTTGAATTTTTGAGCAAAAGCCCCAATTACCGACAGTGAAAAAATCTTAAATATTAATGTATCACAATTAATTTAGCATATATTATGTATTTTATGAATTGTACACGAAATCACGGATTAATAATCTTAGTCCGAAATGTAGTCCAATAAATGCCAAAAGTTCTATTTAAATAAGCAAATCAAATCATATATATCATTTTGGCTTTCTCAGAATCGACTTAATCTCTTTTTCCCTCATGACATTATCTTCAACTTGTTGAAGTTGGTCATTACCATTTAGAATAAGTAGAAGTCAATGAAGTTACCAATAATATAACACTCTTATGTATGTAAACTTTTAAAAAAAATACAATTTCTGATTCAAAATAGGCTAATAGAAATATTCTTCCTGTTGTCGAAAATAATCTGTATACACGATGAACGATAGGGGCTTGTATAGACTTAACGTTATATGATAAAATTAGCTAAAAATACGTATATAATTAATTTTTAGCAAATTTTAAGTCTATAAAAAACCCTGTGGATAAACGTTACAGAAAGACAGATATTGTAATATGTTTTTTTCCATTATTACATAACATATACGGAAGGTGTTCCTACGTGACGATTGGTATGTCCAATGTGAACATTGTGTAGGAGTGTGTCATTACGCAACATGTTTGAAGCCTTAGTTGATGATGTCATAAACAGCCATTGATTTGTTGATTTATTACGTAGGCGGAATAACCAAACCTGGGGTTTTCGGGGAAATCATTCAATGTGTGCAGTAAGAAGAACGATATGCCGACTCTCAAGTCATATATTTGCTGATAGTTGTTTCAGTTACCATTTTAGTTCCATGATTCCCGTGTATTTCTCTTTCAAAAGTCTCACGAGAGTAAACATTATGCAGTTTCAAAGCAGACCGCCATTTTGAAGGTGATTTCCAATTCAGATAGAGGCAGCCAATCAAAAAGAAGAACAGCCACCCACATGATCAACGAGGCTTCCCCCTGTGTGTGAGGAGTGGGACTGACGCCTGATATAGGTCACCACTTCTAAGAAAGAAATGGTCAGAATATAACGATTCTACTCGCTGTTTGAGCATCAGATGGCGAAAGGGGTCGTCAGTGAGAGAGAATTGAAATGGAATTAAAGCTTCATAGTCCGGCAGGAGCCGAAGCTGTCAGTTACACGTGGCCACTGTCGAATTCGGTAAGGCGTGTTCAAGTTTGAGAGGATACACAAAGTAATCCGATTTGTTTCGTTATTTTGACAGATCACTCAGTTACGTTTTGTTTCTTCCTTATTTCAGGATGGAAAAGAAGGAGCTAATGAAATCATCGAAACCATAAGGTATGTAGTTTTCATTCATTTAATTGGTGATATGATTCAACAAAGAAAAATATGTGGAGCACGAGGACGACGCCATATTCAGACATGTACTACAGTACTGAGAAGGTTTTTGACCCCATGACCATGTAAAAATGTAGGTCAGTTGGCCGAACGTCAGTGCCAGCAAAGGATCACATCAAAGCGTGTATAACATTATGTATTTTGTTTCCAATTCTTTACAAATCCATCGTTCATGTATGTCTATGTATACAAACTGTCAAATTATGATGATTTGTTTGAAAACATGTGAAGTGGACCAAGGGAGTTCAATTTGCATCAAATAGCTGAGCTGTCAGTTTCTGAAATTAATGTTTCTCAAAACAAAAACATTTACCTTTGCCTCTACATGTGTGTTTCGCAAGGTGTTACATGAGCAATTGGATTGTTTGAATATTGTCAATGTTAAACATGGCGAGCATTGTATTTTAACTAAAGAGAAGGTCATTATCTGTCCTAGTAACTAAAAATAGGCTCAGCAGTCTGTATCCTGTGTACATGTACATTACCTTTATAACGAAAAGTACACGTCATAATGCTTCCTAGAATCTGTACGATTACTTGTCAATACACGTTTTCAAAAACCAATAGTTTCATTTTGATTTATTTTCATATTTAAAAAGTTGTAAGTAGATGTTACTCAATTAATATTTGATATAATGCAATGACATAGGAGAAACAACTGTTGATTACTATAATAGCAAGGTACACTTTTCTGTCGACTTGTAACAATGTGTTTTTGTTTCACTTTGTTATTGACACGTTGGGACACACAGACATGATTCCTGCCAAAGTATTATTATACATGGTTGTTGTTACAGTGTAGATGTGTTTGTTATTAACAAAACCACAGGACTGTGTGAACAGACCTTTTTTAGAATATTTCCAGAGCGCAAATGTTCTAATATATTGGGAAATTGCTTTGGTGAGGTCACATACATCGTACCTAAGTTAGTAATTGATTTTCATTTGAGATCAGTTTGATATATTACTGCAGCAATACTGATACAGTATTAATGGTCTACCGACTCTATATGGTTACTTTTTTGGGATGTTTTTTTGAGAATTGACATTTGTATCTTTTTAAAAGAAGGACATAAATTAATGGTCAGTGTCACATACCAAATTGATCCTCACTTTATGTGCTCATTGTTTTGATTTTCACTAATAAAACTAGGTACGTAACATGTATTTCCTAAAAGCTGTTATATATATATGTGAATAAAATTTCAAACTCCTAACCAGGAAACAATAGTCATATGACATTCCAGCTGTCGTGTAACTTATGTGCAATCATATAATTGATATTGGTTGTCATTTAGTGATCATGTTCCAGGGTTGTTCAGTCAAAGGGGATTATTGACTTGTTGTCTGAAGTATAAAAAACTATTGTTTAAATATAAGATAGGAAGAATATTGATTGAATTGTTGTGTTCATAATATGTATATAGGCTGATGATAGTAAATATAGGCTGACACTCAATATATATAAATGATGAACACTGTTATTACTCTTATCAACAAACATGGCAGACTTTATCTCACAGTCAGTCTGTCCAACACCCACTCCCTCTCAACAAACCATTTCTACTGATCCTCAATGTCCTTGTACCACATATTTCATTTGTTGATATTGATTACAGTAATTGTGCTTGTTATTTAAACAATAACTGGTTGTCTGGATGTAATTATTGTTGATATAATTACAAGTGGCCTCTGGCAAATCCCATAAAACCCGTTAGGGTTTTATGGTAGATACACTCAACAATACAACATCCATCCTACCACACCCAACAATACAACATCCATCCTACCACACTCAACAATACAACATCCATCCTACCACATTCAACAATACAACATCCATCCTACCACATTCAACAATACACATCCATCCTACCACACTCAACAGGACAATACCCTTCCTACCACACTCAACAGGACAATACCCTTCCTACCACACTCAACAGGACAATACCCTTCCTACCACACTCAACAGGACAATACCCCTCCTACCACACTCAACAATACAACATCCATCTTTAACAAGACCACACCTTCCTACCAAACTCAACAGGACAGCCCTCCTCCAATTCCTACCTACCAGCCAGCTGGACAACACCTTCCTATAGCTACCACACACAGCAATTACCGAGAGAAACTCCTCATCATTTCCTGTGATTATCTTCTCAGGTCTTTGGATTATTTCCTTCCACCTTCTTATTTCCAATAATCATGACATCACTCCTCCACAACCACGCCCACCTTTCTCCATACCTGCCTACTCACACACATTCCATTACTTTTACATACTAAAATCTAACACCTATTAAATGACATTTGTTCTTGCTTTGTATTTGTTTGCGGTAAATTACCTGTCATTCTGTTTCACTGTTAATGTTTCTTAGATCCAACCATCACATGTAACTTCATACTCATTGGTTCTCACAATCACCTTTTAGTACTAATATTCCCACAAACTTCTCGCCTCCCAACATCCTTATTTCCACTCATTAAATTTCCTGAATAGGTGATGATATTTCTTCATATTTCCATGGGCCACTGGGAAGATAAGTAACATTATAATTGTATTTTATATCAATATTAAACATTCTCTTGTTTATTGATAAATGAACTAATACATACTGGCAGACAGACATTCTGGCCAGGTATTCACATGCAGCAGCTGAATAGCAATGACTTGCATGCAGCCATGCCCAGTCAGCAGATATACAGGGTATACCTATAGGCTGACAACCAGCAGATTGTACTGCATTGACAAGGTATACTAGAGGATGCTGATTGTACTTGGTCCATAGACTCGTCCCTAGTGGCCTGTGAAGTCGCAGAGTACATGTTCGTGTAGATATACTTGCATTGGTGTAGAGTGGCAGGCAGAGTGTAGACTCCGTACTACAGTATACTGTCTACTGATCAAAGGGTTTGTGGTAAATATTTCATACCAGTATATAGAGAAAGATCTTTTATAATGTAGCTGCCCTTATTGCATAGACATTGGCTTCATAAAACAGGGTATCAAATATAAACATATGTGGTTAATGATAGATGAAATCTATTTACAAACAGGTATGAGGTAACATGTAGTTAAGTGCATTTTATATTCAATCTATACAGTTTCCCAGTAGCTACATCCCTGGGACTTGTCAGTACATGTCAGCCATATATATATATATACATGTTTGTAATGTCAACGACTTTTTGATGACATCTTTAATTTGCACTAAAAACAAGAACTGTTGAGTTCAGAAAGTTGGCTCCATAAAACCTGTGAAAATATTACGAAAAAGTAGATTTGCCTATATACTGTATAGCTACATACATTCTTTTCCAAAGCCACAAATTGGAAACATGGGTATATATAAGTGAAAGTGAATGATAAAAAAGTACGGACTCACTGGAGTCAATCTGCTGTACAGCTAGACACTACCGGTAATTGTAATAATGTGAACTGTAAGATGAATTGATGATAGGCAACTTTCAATGTTGATATTCTGAACACATATACTGGACAGTCTTGTACTGTTACATGGCTGCAGAACAGATAGGACATTGACCAACACTGCCCACTGGCATTGACCACAGTGACACATGTACAGAGGTCTATATCGGTAACTAGGAGCAGTTATATTGATCTGGGGTTGCTGGCTTTTACAGAATATATACATTTTATAGTCTGTGCTCTCCTGTACAGCTGTGAGCTAAGCCCCTATACAGTGAAGCTAGTAAATGGACAATAACATGGTTATATATTGACCAGGGCCTGTACACGGGCTGGATGCACACACCCCCAGTAGCAGTGATGAAACTTGTAGAGAATTTAGTGCTAAAGAAGCCTGTGCTGTGTGATTAAATCAATGACCTGGATTCCCCTACTTATAGAATGTCTGAGCTATAAATGTCCTCCCCAGCTGACCTAGGCCTGCTTGCACAGTCAACCAATGGAGGCTGGGGTCACATCTTTGTCTGCTCAGGTGTTTCAATTCACGATCATCATCATATAGAGTTTTTAAAAGCTATTGGTGTAGCATTATATACATACAGCACACTTCACATATACCATGATATATAGGTCGCTTATTATCATAAAGGTATGATATCTATATATGTGTGTGTGTATGTATATATATATATATATACATCCCTACTTTGACTGCTTATGATTAACAAATATGCAATGTATCAAACACAGAAATGCAAACATTTTTTTCACTCGTTTATGATTACATACAAACCAGATAAATCTCCAGTTTGATAAATAGGGAATATAGATATATAAATATATTATATTAGATTGGTACATGTATATATATACTGCCTGATTTTATCAACAAATCCACAGGGTTTTTATAAAGCTGACATCAAAGGGATAAAACATTTTGGAACAAGGCTACTTAAAATTTTCAATATTTGGAAACTAAGAAAATGTTAATATGGCTGATAAATATTATTTTGTTTTCAAAATCAGCATGTGGGCTAGTACTGAAAATTGAACTCGACTCCTAATCTATTTCATTTCATATAGCACGGGCCCTAGTTGTCTGGCCTTCTCTAACATTTCCTATTGAGTATCGACTACTTTTGTCTCGCCACCCCGAAGTTGAAGCGAGACTTAGGTGTTGCTTTTCCGGCAACGTCAACCTTAAGGAAAATATAAGTGCTAGACCAACCAAACTTGAACCATAGACTAGATGCATCTGAGGTAGTACATCTCAACCCATGCATCAAAAGCTGGATGCGGCCTACCTTTCACGGTCCATTGACTTTGTCAGCATCTCCATTAACATTAAGTTTTTGTGTTTAAGTTAGTTTCTCTGATATGTACATTGGTGGTCAAAGCGGGGCATAGGCGAGACATATCAATCCGAATGGCTTTTTCACTAGTGGCATCATCACTGCTCTATTAATAGATATATCTGCAAATTATGCTGTACTTGTTAACCCTAAATCTGTAAGCATTATTTGGCTTCCTTAAAAGATCTGTCTTGATAAACATGTGTGTTTATTTGTTTATAAAGACCAAGCCCTGATGAACAGGCAGCTGCATGTTACATGTCCAAGTCTCTGTACTTCTCTAGCACTGCATGTTACATGTCAAAGTCTCTGTACTTCTCTAGCACTGCATGAAGCAGTCTGTGATATTTGTCAGCTGTTTACAAGTTGTTTAGTCCGATAAACAACACACTTATAAACCGGTAATAATTAGTTACTGCACAACCGACCGGTAGTTGGCTATTCAAGTTGTGTACAGCTCAATCTTTGTGTCGTACCAAGGCCACTACTGGGAATATAACAAGTCACACAGATTTGTTTCGTCCCTAAAGCTATCAATATAGATCTTGATATTAAAACTTTGATAAAAAACGACTTGGGCTGAAACACTGAAATATTCCTGTTTTATTCTTTGTTAATAAAACATTCCCACATGCATACATTGATGTTAGTTTATCAACTCAAATTATTAAATGCTTACATTTTAAGAAACCTGAATATTTGAACTTGATCCCTAATAAGTTGACACCTCCTCGCCCAGGAACATTGTTAGCTTCATCGTTTATATGTGTGCATACAAGAAAATACCGTACACATTCTACACTAAGCTGTAGTTTATTCTTGATCCACATTTGATCAGTATGTTCATACATGCGTGTTGTAGATGGGTGTCGGAAGATTTCCCGGAGCTGGAGACGGCATTGGATAACAACATCCTACAGGACTATGATGTGAGGAGGTGAGGTCTACAGGCAAAGTCATGCTTACTGCATACTGTATGACATGAAATGTTTATTGTGTATAAACATTCAGGGTTTTCGTGGTTGCTATTGAACAATGAAAATAAATACATCGAAATCGAATGATACACGTGTCTACTGTTTGTTAATATAGGATATCCACGGAAGTTTTACCAGGAAACGATCTAAATTGCTTCAAACCACGAAGGAAAGTATCCATGAACATTTCATGTAATACAGTAGTACAGACAAAAACATCTACATGTATACCAATTTCCAACTTTGTATTTAGATGTTGTTGTTACCAGCCATATCTTGACAATTTGAAATTACTTCAAATATTTGATGTTCTTGTCAATAACCATGGTTTCCATCAAAATACAGACACTAGTACTAGTGGTGCTGTTGATTTTCTACGAGTAAAAGGCAGTGCAAAGTGAAGGATGAATCATTTCCCCAGCTAACCTGTCAGATGAGAGATTTGGCCCTTACGACATGTAGACAACATTCATTTGCATGTCTGGTACTCCTTAGTGTATACAGGTACTACAGTTAATACTGACTATATAGGTTGAGTACTGATCATGAAAAGCTCACTGGTAATCATCAAATATGTCCTATAATACCAAACCATTCATACTGTGTGGTGACCCTACTGACTTTTGATGGATTTTGAAAGGTATACAAGTGTTATTAATTTTTTAAGAAATAATTTCCAAATTAAGGAATGCATTGCCAACTATATTTACATAGAAACTGACTACAGTTTGACATATAAATAGTAGCAAGTAGGCGCTAGATCTGTCAATGGTAACACCCAAGTAGGTGCTAGATCTGTCCATGGTTCCACCCAAGTAGGCGCTAGATCTGTCTATGGTTACACCCAAGTAGGCGCTAGCTCTGTCAATGGTAACACCCAAGTAGGAGCTAGATCTGTCAATGGTAACACCCAAGTAGGTGCGAGATCTGTCCATGGTTACACCCACGTAGGCGCTAGATCTGTCAATGGAAACACCCAAGAAGGCGCTAGATCTGTCAATGGTAACACCCAAGAAGGCGCTAGATCTGTCAATGGTAACCCCCAAGTAGGCGCTAGATCTGTCGATGGTAACACCCAAGTAGGAGCTAGATCTGTCCATGGTAACACCCAAGTAGGAGCTAGATCTGTCCATGGTAACACCCAAGCAGGCGCTAGATCTGTCAATGGTAACTCCCAAGTAGGTGCTAGATCTGTCCATGGTAACACCCAAGTAGGAGCTAGATCTGTCAATGGTAACACCCAAATAGGTGCTAGATCTGTCCATGGTTACACCCACGTAGGCGCTAGATCTGTCAATGGTAACACCCAAGCAGGCGCTAGATCTGTCAATGGTAACTCCCAAGTAGGTGCTAGATCTGTCAATGGTAACAACCAAGTAGGCGCTAGATCTGTCCATGGGAACACCCAAGTAGGCGCTAGATCTGTCAATGGTAACACCCTGAAGCATTTTACTGCTTATGAAACTTTGTATTGCTGATAACTAGGTACAGGTTGGACTCCCAGTGTTTGGCAAGTTATTTGGTACTTTAAAAGAAAGTCTTAGAATGAAACAGCTGTATAGGAAATTTGAAACAAGGGTGACATATGAGAATATTTCTTTAGAGTTTGTATTTTTCAGAACAAAAGGTGAAGGTCACTGCTACTAATTATAATGTCTAATAATGGTACTTTGCATGGAAGCGGCAACATCGCTGTTGCACACATTCTTTCGTTAATTATCCGTTTTCGTCACTGTGAAAAGAGAGTACAATACAAACAAAAATGAAAAACAAGAATGAGTATAGTACTCTTTTCCATATTGACAAAGAGTACTTCTAAGTTGAACCTGTTGTATCTGATTCAGATGTCTGTCTACTTACAGCTTTGAGAGCATGAAACAACTGTGTGACAAGTATAACAGGACCATTGACAGCATCCTCCAGCTGGTATGTTACCCTTCCTCTCTAAAACAATGATTGGCTGAAATGCAGTTTGCATTATAAATGTTGCATTATGATTAATAATTTCTAAATATTCACACTGTGTCATAGTCATTCTGCTAAATCCAACACTTCGTATGTAATTCTTGGAAAGGGTCCTGTTTTGTTTAAAAATATTTAAATTCATAAATATAAGACTAGACTCACCAGAGTGTTCCATTTTATTTGCCCACCATCATCAGATGGTGGGCTATTCAAATCACCCTGCGTCCATGGTCCGTCTGTCGTCCGTCGTCCGTCCGTCCGTAAACAATTCTTGTTATCGCTATTTCTCAAGAAGTACTCTAGGGATCTTTCTCAAATTTTATATGTAGGTTCCCCTTGTTCCTAAGCTGTGCAGGGCATTTTTTTGAGACTGATTGGATAAACAACATGGCCCACAGGCAGCCATCTTGGGTTTTGATATTGAAAGTTTGTTATCGCTATTTCTCCGGAGTATCAGAGGGACCTTTCTCAAATTTTATATGAAGGTTCCCCTTGGTCCTCAGCTGTGCAGGGCAACTTTTGAGACTGATCGGATAAACAACATGGCCGACACGCAGCCATCTTGGATTTTGATATTGAAAGTTTGTTATCGCTATTTCTCCGGAGTATCAGAGG